TGAATGCAGGTGGCATGTTACCTTGTTAAAATGTCCCTTTTACAGAGCCCAGGAGAAACAATTTAGAAATTTGAGTTGTGCTGCAACTTTGGAGGAAAAAACCCTGTCATTTACATTCTTTCCTTATGTTCCTCCCAGGAGATGGACCTCAAGGGGAATTTATCAAGATCTCAAGGGGAATTTATGAAGATCTAGGCCATTTTAGAGCTTTACCCCTATTAACACTTCACAAGACCATGATGTATCTAAAATATCCCAACTCCTTTTCTCTTGGTAGAATGTATCACATGATCTTTCTAGCAATTGTTTTGGCATACTCCGTAAAAAAAAAAATACAGTAACACACACAGCGCTCACCTTAAAAAGAACTTAAAACAAGTGTTACATAGTTATTATTGCTGGGAGGAGCCTATTGTATGGCCAGGAAAGCATCTCCTGTATGAAGAAATGTTTGGCACCAGTGGGGAACCATAGCTGAAAGTGACAGGCTCATTTATACAGCTGGAGCTTGTGTGCAGAATTGTTGAAATTGTATCTCTGCTACAGAGGAGAAGCATTAGAAAAAAAGTTGACAAAAGCATTCATCATTTGTAGCCCGTTGTTGAATATTTGATGCCTGAATACTATGCCTTTCTTTTATGTGAGGATGACAAAACCTCCCCATCATCAACCCAGCAAGAATTTTGAGTTGAGAACATCTTATCTGGTCTTTTTTTGTAACAAATTTGCGTGGCCATTAGAAGTCAGATCATATTTATTCACTTTTAAAATCATACCACATTATATGGTATTTTATGTTTCACAGAAAGTGTTCTTACTTCATACATAGTAGATATTCAATATGGGTTCCTGCTGGATGGATCAAACTATAGTGATAGTGGGAAGGTGGATCCCAATATATCTACATTGAGATCCTGATAAATACATACAATTTTAGGACTTACTTTTGGAGACCTATGAGTTTGAAAAGATCGGAACATTATTGGGATTTTTTTGAATGATTAGGTTGCCTAATTATTTGGTTATTTGCCCTGTTTTCTTTAAAGAGAGCAAAGTTCCCACAGTCCTTGGATGATATGTACTGGGTGGTCAGAGGAGTGTTCCGGAGCTCATTAATCAAACTGCCCTTGATTTCTGCCTAAGCTAGTTCAACAAAGGTTTATATTTAGAATACGTTGGGGAGCATTAAAATGAAAACAGTAAAATCAGAAGTTGAAGGACTTTCTGGGGACCAACAGAGAAAATTAAGAATTTTCATAGGTTGTGATATAATTCAAAATATACATTTTCTAAAAAAAAATTGCTTTATAAAAGGCAAGAAAAATCCAAGAATTTTTAACCCACAGTTTGAGAGATACAAAGATTCTGTGCACTCTTTGAGATAAAACAAAAGTTAAAAACCAGAACAAAAATATAGATATAGGAAGATAAACATAGACACACTAAGTAAATGGGTATTTACATAAGTTACTAAGGAGAAACTTAGGCACTTCAGAAATAGAATTTTTGTCTTACCGTAAAAGGATGCGTTTATATTCCTAATCATGTTAGATATATTAGAATTCATGAGATCCAATAAATGGTTTAACCTGACGGACACTGTATTGAATTCTACATATAGTTTTTTCCTTCTCAAACTCTAGAGATATGACAATAAAGGCTGTAGTAAAACTCTTATATTCTTGAAATATTGTCACTTAAAAAATGAATAAAACTTTACAGTTTCTTTCATTGATTGGCTTTAAGTTCTTTCAGCTGACGGAAAATAGGTATAATGAACTTTTCATATGTATATGTGACCTAATCTAATAGACAAAACTTTAAAGATTATATTTTGAGACTTTTTATTTTCAGGTATAGAAAGTCGAGCTAACACAAAGGATTGAACTGTCAAATCAGATGCACAAGTAACAGAGATATACCCAGTATCAATCTTTATTAATAATTTCAAGGATACAATCAATCAAGAGGCATCAGTGAGGCAGAGAGGTCAGAGACATCCTACATGAATCCTCAGGTCCCTTTTCTCATCGAACATGCACAGTCTGGTCCAGAATAGTAGATAAAAATGTCACAGAGCAGAGGATTGTTTGGTTTATGAAACATCTCCCATTTATAGCCCAGCTACATGACATTTTCTAGAAAGTCATGCCTCATAAATCCATAGATTCTAAATTTCTTTACTATAAACAATCCTTAACCAGAGACATCTGGGTAAGGGCATGCCGTAGATAAGAAAATATCATTAGTCTATTTACCAGGAGTTCCAGTTACCATCATATTTATTATGAGAATAGACCGGTCACCTGCCCTGTAAAGCAAGTGAATGGATCACAGCCAAGCCACTTTAACTCCTTCCTTGCCAGAAGCCTATCAAGGCAGGGCATTTCGTTTGTTTAGAGTACTGCATGTTACTGTATGATTTCAACTTTTTTTCAAATGCCATACAGTCATAGTAAGTAGAAGATCATTGTTTCATAGGTACATTGAGCCATTGGTAGTTTGATCATTCTGGCTTGTAATTAGTTCAATGACTGTAAAAATGCAATGATACCTTTAGAATTTAAGATTAGTAATATAATGGTCCCATATGGCTATAAAGCATCATTATGAATTAAATCCTATTTATCTATTATTAATGTAGTCACACCAGATGCCTGCCTTTTATATCCTTCACCATCGTGTTACTTTCAAAATTTCTGTGTCTTCCTGTTTTAGATGTGTCTTGTACAAGAGCATATGAGTAAATTTAGTTATTGTTATGGATAGTTAGTGAGACCATGTTTGTCTTTTAACTTGAGAATTTAGGACAATTTTTATTAAATGAAATTATTAATAATTTTGGAATTCTGCTGTCTTATTTAGTGCTTCCTCTTGTCTACATGTTTTTGTTTCATTTCCCTTCTCTTTCATTTGTTCCTCTTTGTATTGTTGAATTTTGTTTTTGTTTTATTTGTTCTTATTTATTTATTTTTACTTACGTTTCCATTTCCTCGATGGTTATCCTAGGTATTTTTTTTTTTTTAATATGCACAAGTAACAAAGCCTACAATTTAAGTTCATCCCTAAATGATATTAGGAATTTAGAACACATTGATTCTAATTACCTTACCTTACCTCTAGTCTCACATACTTTTGTCATCTGATTCATTTGTTCTATTTAGATTTTTAATACAATAAATAAGGTACTGTTGTTTTATACATTTAATATTTGTTTAGATATACTTACATTTCTCCCAGTCATTTGTTCCCCATTTCTTCTTAAATTAAGACCTTCCATCCTTATCCTGAAGTTTATCTTCCATAATTCCTTGAGACTAACAATGGCAAACTGTTTTACTTGATTTAAAAATGAATTCACTTTGCACTTGCTCTTAAATAGATAATTTCATTGAGCCTGCAATTCTAGATTTTTAAATATTCTCTCTCAACATACTGGAAATATTCTACTGTCATCTAGCTTCCATTGGTTTTGCTGAAAAATGCGCCTCTAATTTGTGGTAGAGGGTAGGGGACTACTTGAGTAAGTTTGCTGCCAGATTTACATCTGTTGGTTGAAGAATGCGATGTTTGATATCAAGATTTCTGACGTGGTACTAAATCTGATGAGGGTATAATCCTGGAAATGGATGGTTGCAGATGAGTGAATGAATAGCTTCTCATTTTAATTTTCAGAAAGGTATTATGTGTTTAACCAAGTAATGAATGAGATAAATTTTTATATAACCCTAAAATTTTGAAAGATGTTTGTTTCTTATATATTAAGAAGACCTAGCCCATATACCATATTCAGTATTAGTTAAAGCCATACATCCACTTCAATATCTACTTCCATCATTCATCAGCTTTATTGATAAACTGGAGCCAAATAATTATAGATCCTTGACTGGTAATTGATCTGATATTGTATTTCCCATTAAGCTTTGGTGAATGGGTTTAACAAAGACATTCATTGCCTAACAGCAATGGAAATAAAGTTCTGACCTGAAATATATACCTTCGAAGTGTGGTGGGAGTGCTGGTTTCATGAAAAAATATTGAATACTGAATTTTATCTTAATATCTAACCTTATCTTCTTTTCCTAAATATTTTTAAACCCTGGGTTGCATGACCTTACTACTCTCCCTCCCCTGATCATTGCCCACCCACCCTAAATCCGCAGTCTCTTCATAGTCTCCCTGCCTTGTTCCTGGTAATATATGGTTTCGGAAAAGTGTATTGACTTATTGGCACCAAAATATTCACAGTATTTGAATTTTAAAAGATTTTAAGTCACATGAATGAATCTTGCTGACATTTTAGAAATAAGTTATTTTTGGTAGTTAGACCTTTAAACCTCTATAACAGTATCACAAAAGTTGTTGCTGTTGGGTGCCGTTGAGTTGATTCCAACTCATAGCAACCCCATTTGACAGAGTATAACTGCCCTATAAGGTATTCTAGGCTGTAATCTTCATGGAAGCAGATTGTCAGGTCTTTCTCCTAGCAGAGCCACTGGTGGGCTTGAATTGCATACCCTTTGGTTAATACCTGAAGGCTTAACCATTGTGCCACAACAGCTCCTCATAATATTAAATAGGTAAAGTTGACTAAGGGTGATTGGAAGAAATTCATAAATACATTTGCCCAAAGTGTGTATTATGTGTATGTACATTTACTTATCTATATTCGTGGATACTTTTATCTTTGTACAAAATTTAGAAGGAATGAATAGGTGGTAGAGAACCAGTCACCATGTTTATGAATTAGAGAGCAATGTATTTTTTTAATTTAATAAAAACTGTATGTCCTCGAAGCTACTGAAAAATTAGAGATGTAAAAGTAAATGCTTAGAAATTAAAAACAAAACAAAACAATAGATTGTCATAAAAAACAAATTTGGGGACAAATAATTAGACTGGTAACCTGATTAGTGATTTTGCTAATTGATCTACATCAGATGTGCATATCTTTATAATTCAACTATTGCCCTTTTATTTATTTTTTTTTTCTGTCCTAGTGTTAAAGAACCCAGTGTGTAAATTATACAGATTTCCCACATCTGATAATAAGTGGATGCGAATCCGGGAGCAGATGTCAGAGAGCATACTTTCTTTTCATATTCCTAAGGAATTGATTTCCCTTCACATAAAAGAAGACTTGTGTAGGTAAGAGAAAATCATTTATGATTGCCTCTCACAATAATACAATTTTCTTAAGACATAATGCTAAGATACAAATCTAGACTTGCACTATCCAATACAGTGGCCACTACCATGTGTGGCTGCTGATCACTTGAAATGTGATTGGTCAGAATTGAGATGTGTTGTACGGGTTAAATACCTGCCAGATTTTTAATTCTTAACACACATACACAAAGGCTGATTTCTTATTGAAATGTTAACATTTTGGATATATCAGTGCTAAATAAAATGTATTACCGTTGCCGTCGAGTCGATTCCGACTCATAGCGACCCTGAGGGCCTAGTAGTTAAGAGCTCAGCTGCTAACCAAAAGGTCAGCAGTTCGAATCCACCAGCGGCTCCTTGGAAACCCCATGGGGCAGTTCTACTCTGTTCTGTAGGGTCACTAAGAGTCGGAATCAACTCGATAGGCAGCAAGAGTTTTAAAAAATATATTATTAAAGTTATTTTCACTTTTTTTTCTTTTTTACTTTTTAAACAGGGTGAGTAGGAAATTTAAAATTACATATTGTGACCACCATTTGTGGCTCATGCTGTTTTTCTATTGGACAATTTAGTGTCTAGCCAATAACCTGAGCTTTGGGCTTGCCCATAATTCTCAGTGTCTTTACCTCATCTGCTTAAGGCTACTCTTTCTGTGAAAAATTCCCATTTGACTCTTCTTTAGACTTCTCATCTGTAACAAGGTTTGCAGATAGTTGTCTAAAATTCTTTGAGAAGATTGATAAAATATGCTATGCTAGTGGACATATTGTTGTAGAACAAAATTAAATCAATTGCTATAATAAGACAGAAGATTGTGAGCTGATTGGTTGATAAGAATATTCTCTGAGCCATGGTAAGCAGTTTGTTTCTCTGCTTTATAGGCTGCTAAACCCATTGCCATCAAGTCAATTCTCACTCACAGCAACCCTATAAGACATAGTAGGACTGCCCATAGGGTTTCCAAGGAGCAGCTGGTACATTTGAACTGCTGACCTTTTGGTTAGCAGTCAAGGTCTTAACCACCGTGCCAGCAGGGCTCCTATAAGCTGCTAGTGACTTTTAAAATGCTGAATACAACATTAAACACCATCAAGGCCCTAAATCCCAGAAAATTAGCAAATATTTTTAATAGTTAACATTTTGTAATTGCTGAAGTATATAGCAGTGTGAAATGTCCCAAAGTTGGATTTCTGCCTTATGTTCTCATTAGTACATATAATTACATGATAGTATTACACTCCTTTTGTAAGTTCTAAAATCTCCAGGAACAGGAAAGTCAAGATTGGCAGGTATTGACAGAATTGGCCAGGGTGGGAATGACTGCAAAAATACTATAAATCCAAATTAAGAAAAAAAGAAGAGAAAACAGAACTTGAATTTTAGGGAAAATTAGACAGAATTTAGGTTTTATGACAATTATCTGGATCTACAGTCATAAAGATCTAAAGGCAGAGAGGGAGGTGGAGATTAGACGGTAGCCAAGTGAGGAGGATCAGGTCACAGACATCAGACAAGTGGTACTGACTCAGGCAAGAGAAATTGTAACACGTCCAGAATCCAGGAGCAGAACCGAAGCAGAATATATAAGAGCCAGCTGCAAGAATGCATTAATACAAGCTAAGTTATTCTGATATGGGTTTTCAATATTATCTCTACCTAGTGTTAGGACTATGAGTAGATTGTGGGCAAAACAAATTCCCAGAAAGGATAAGCGAGCTTACTTGGTTAGAGTAGAGCAGAACGGAGTTCAAATCTTTGAATTCTTGATGGAATCATCAGCCTCAATAAGGTGCATTCTTGACCATTGGACACCGAGAATCCCTCCTACTAGGGCCCTGTAAAGATCACCATTTCATACTTAAGGGGTTGAAGGAGTAACTGTTCTCACAAGGGTTATAGAATAAGGAAGGGCTCACAGTAGACAAGCATGAGTTAGAGATGTCAGTTAAGACCTAGCCCCTTTGTTTCAGCTGAGAGCCACAGGATGAAGGAAAGTTTCCTAGATGAAGCAGATTTAAGAAATTAAGACACTAGACCTTACCCTAGAAACAGCACCAGATTAGCTGGATCTGATATGTTGTTGTTAGCTGCCACTGAGCAGCCTCCAACTCATGGCAACCCCATGCACAACTGAACAAAATGCTGCCCAGTACTGTGTCATCCAGTACTGTGTGATCCGTAGATGTCACACTGAAATACCTATAAAGATACATAAAATAAAAAATGGTGACACTCCATAAAAACACTGAAACCTATTGGCATAATATTGGAGAAATCGTACTAATTGATATTTTGGGGTTGAAAATCTTAGTTGATAGACCATTAATGCTACGTCATCTAAAAATCCAACAAGCTGGTAGTGAGAAAGTACAAACACTCATACTACTGCCTCAGTGTCTCTTTTTTTTGTCATCAGTTTGTTGGTGTTGTTAGGTGCCATCGAGTCGGTTCCAACTCATAGCGGCCCTATGTGCAAAGAATGAAATGCTACCTGGTCCTGTGCTATCCTCACATTCATTGCTATGTTTGAGCCCATTGTTGCAGCTGCTACGTCAATCCTTCTTGTTGAGGGTCTTCCTCTTTTCCGCTCTCATCATTTTAGAAGCATATTAAAGACTGAGTAACTGTCCTTCTACTGCTTGCCTGCTATTTTGGAGTCCTCTACAGAGCTAGCCCCAATCCCTGCCTCCGTTCTCACTCCCATTAATGTCTCTCTGCCTCGATCTATTCACTGACAGCAAATCCCGGGAGGAAATGATGAGTAGGAAATAAGAGAAAGAGGCTATTAAGGGATTACGTTTTAGTAGACAGAGCCACTATAATTACTGTGGTTTCCTTAACACACCAAACTGTTGTCCACCCACCCTGTTCTCTTGCCTTCCTCTATATCTCTGTTTTCATATGCATTCACAGGAAAAAAAGAAAAGGCAAACACACGGAAGGGGCTGGTGGGCAATTTGGGTGAAGACAAAAAAACAATGTATCCGAATATAAAGCACCATTGCCAGGGACTGAACTAGGAGCTGTTATCAGTGTACATTGGAGATAGTTCTAAGAAGAAAATCCCATTTCAGTCCTAAGAAAACGAACTGTTAAAAAGCCTGCTGGATTCTGAAAATTGGCTTGGGACTATGATGACCACCCTGTTCCATATACCTTTTTCTTTCTTCAACACTTTTTCTGTATAATCCCCCATCATTAGGATGTGTTAAAAAAAAAAATAATGAATCTTTAAAATTTTCTTTAAAAAAAGAGAGAAAAAAATCATCCCAACAACTCGAAAGGGAAATAGAAGAAATTTGTAGGATAACTGACCAGCAGTCTCAATAGGGTGTAAGAAAATATGATTAACATGAAACAGAATCAGAAAGCCATGAGAAAAGAACCGTCTAAGAAGAAAAGGCTAAGAAAGAAAATGAATGAAATAATGAAATTTTAAAACACAGAAGCCAAATTAAATCCACAGTCGGTAGAAAAGAACAGATTGACTATGAGAAATCAATCATGTCAGTAATGTGGAAGACAAACCCAAATGCTGAAAAAAGGTAAAGAAAGATCAAAATGATGAGAGAGAAGATGTTAGATGAGCAGGGTAGAGAGCTGGAAACTACTAAATAATCTGAGTGTTTGGGGAAGATAGATTAATGCAAAAACTTGAAAGAAACTTACGCATGGTGAAAGACAGCTGAGTCTACAGCTTGTTTTTCGTTTTTCTTTTCATGCCAAAATCAGGCTAACTTTACACTTCTGTGTAGGGCTACGTGGCAGAAGTCAATGGAACAACAACTATTGATTTGTGAAAGGAAAATGCTCTGACCCCCTATTATTATATAAAGGACAGGTTATTAGTGTTTTTTATTAATGAAGGCAACAGAAATGACGTTCATAAATATGCAGGAATTCAGACAATATCATTCACAAAACTTTCTTGAAAAACCTACCTGAAAATATATGCCACCCAACTGAGAAAATTATTTACATTAAGAACGTAAGACTTGGGAAGTTGTCCTGAAAACAGACTTAAAATGTTTTTATTCGTTGTGTGGAATCTCTAACCTGGGGCAGAGCTTTACTCTGAAGTTCTTTTCTCAGCTGCTCTTACAGTACTTTTACTGAGAGCTTAGAAAGTGTTTAACTTAAGCTAATTTTCCTCCCAATTGCTCTTACCTTGTTTGATGAAAATAACCAGTGCTGTAGTGCTTTTAGCTTTTAGTACTTGCAAACAGCACAAAATATTTTATTTAAAAGATTATTAAACAACAAAAAGATTTTTTTTCCCTTCCAAAAAAAAAAAATTTTTGCCCAGAGTGACATCATACATACATCATGGTCATTTTCATTGCTAGGAAGTTAAATTTTCTGAATTTTTAAAATAATTATTAACTAAGCTGTATCATTAAATTTTAGTTTGTGTCTTAGTTATCTAGTGCTACCATAACAAAAGGTAACACTTGTGGGTGGCTTTAAAGAACAGACATTTATTTTATCACAGTTCTAGAGGCTAAAGTCCAAATCAGAGTCTCGACCATTTGTATTCCTTCTGTGAATCTCTCTCCTAGTTTCTGGTGTCTGCAGCAATCCTTGACATTTCTTTGCTTATAGATGATACTCATACTCATATGGCATGTGTCTTCCCCTTGTGTGTGTGTCTCTGTATATTCTACTCTTTTCATAAGATACTACTCAGAAGTAATTTGGTTTAGGACCCACCCCACTCTGGTTGGTAAAGTGGAATAAGCCAATCAAAGGCAGATATAAGCTGTCACCAAGCTCCTTTTCATACCCTGTTCTGCTCCATAGTACCTGTGGAAATATATATTTTAAAAGTAAAATCAGTAAATACAGTAGGAATTTAGCTGTGCCCTTCATCAGGAGTCAGCAAACCTTTTCTTAAAAGGGCAAATAGTAAATATTTTAAGTTTTGCAAGCCTGACAGTCTCTGTCCCTATTACTCAGCTCTAACATCGTAGCACAAAAGC